CTATAATTTTTTGATAAACAGAATCCCAAACATGTCATTAATTGTTAATCGTTAGGATATCACAACAAAATATCGTACCTGAGATAGAAAACATATAGGCCCTGAGTAGTAAGTTTTTCTTTAAATATAAAATAAAGACAAATGTATATGTCAAATGTGAAATATGATTGCAAATTGCTACAAGATATCTTGCATAGCGTCTATAAGTAGACGATAATAATTATAACGGATATTTTTGTCTTCTAAAGATATTGAATTCACGTATCTGTATAGGTTTTATTTGTTTTTATGTAAACATTTATTCATTTTTGCTAGCAATATTTCATATCTTGTATTTTTTTCTAAATCTTTTTTTTTTTATTTTGTTTTGTTTTGTTACTACTTTAATGTTTTGATTTAAACATTACTTTATTGTTATATATTTGTTCTCATTTGCTACGTTATCTTTATATGTATATATATATATATATATGTACATATGTTTTTTAATGCTTTTTATGATTGTATATTTGATGTAAACTTGCATTTTAGTCTTTGGACTTTTTGACAAGTCATGAAGAAAACCTCATTTGAACTTGAACTTGAGCTTCATATGCATTTCTATTTTATTCTCCTGAGATTTACTATAAGTATTGTAAGAAATGTTGTCAGTACTACATGTATTTAGTTTTCCCATTATATGAGCATGTGAAAGAATTTGCATTTTGTATAGACCTACTCCTTAAATACATCGAATTATAGTAAAGTTTTGTGTAAATTAAATATAAGATGAATACCGGTCAAAGGTATAGGCCTATTGTCAAGTGTCATCAGTATAAGTGATGTGAGTTGGTCTAGCGAAACTGAGTCACGTCTTGTTTCAGATGTTGCCGTTAAAATTCGGTCCCACTCGTGAATTATTTCATATGGATACACGTTTTTTTTTTTTTAAATAACGCACAAACACAAACACATTTATGTAGATTTTTCTGCATTTAATGAAAGATCATGTTATATAATATTCAAACAACAATGATATAAAAACAAATATACCATGCACTGAGAGGCTCTAGTTGAAATTATGGATCGAGGTGGCAGGAATAGCACTACTTTCTGAGGGGCGTAGCCCCGAAGAAAATAGTGCCATTTCTGTCGCCGAGGAATCCATAATTTTAACTGGCTTGAAATAATTTTTCGAACCAACCTTCATAAAAATAATAATAATAATAATTATGTTAACTGTCACTGAAGTAGTTTAGAGTGCAGTGAGAGCAGCGAAGACGACAGTACCGCGACCGCGACCGATAGCACATTGATCTTGATCGATCGCATATATATGACGTCATCCATGGTATAGTGCCATCATGTCTCATGAACATACAATCATTTGCCTGTACATAAATGTGGTGTTGACAATGGGAATGCAGATATTAACGATGTAAGGAACTTTTTGTATTTCTTCATAATTATATTAATAACACATACTGAACAGATAAACATGTATTACTTTACGCTCGTAACATTAATTATTAATACTCTGTATATACAGCAATACTTTTCGGATTGAACGTAAATAAACAATACTCGCATGTACAGTATGCAGGCGTATTTGCGTGCAAAATATCATGTGGGCTTATAGTTAGCGTACCAAACCAAGCAACTCTAGATTTCCGTACATTCTTGAATTGCAAATGTATATTTTGCTGTATAGCACTTGGGAAATCTAGTTGATCCTGGACATTTTATTTGATATTTTAAGTCATATGAAATTGTCTTTATATATATTACAATGGTGCGGGAAATTTCTATAGATAGTCTTCAGAACATTGTGTAAGAAATAAAGTGACATAACTTTTGATTACATTTCAAATAGTAAGCTGCTAATACCATTTCGTTGTCTTCCTCAATATTATCACTAATACATATTTCTCTACCAGATCGCTCATCGGCTTAATATGATTTTACTTGCAAGAGAATCATAGAGATTACAAAAAAGTGCTTAATAAATCATTTGAATATTCGTTCGGCATTCATTTGGCATTGATATCTCTCTCAAGTGTGAAGTGTTTTCCAAAGTAAATCAAGATGCAGGGAGGGTATACTTATTAATATACATTAGTAATACATTATTAGTATGACTTAAATCATTGTCATCAACGGGGACAGACGTTTATGGCACCAGAAGGAAGAGGCAAAGATTTCACCCTCGCCTTAACTAGAACATTTAGTGAGTGGCATATTATGCGGGTTTAAAGGGAGAGGGGAGGGAGGGGCGGGGCTTTACACATAAATGATAATAAATGTAAGAGAAAAGGAGCATTTGCGAAAGAGGTTTTTCTGTGTGTATTGAAAAGAGAAGTTTTTAGATAGAGGGAGGGGGAACAGAAGAGAGAATGAAAAAAGTGGGGAGATAGAGAGGGAGAAAGTGAGAAGAGGAGGGGATAGGAACATGCACACGATACAAACTGCATTGTTCAAATCGAGGCTTTATGAAAATTTAAATAGTAATAGCTCCCCAAAGAGAACAAATATAATGGTAAACTTTAAAACCTTAATGTGAAGTTGACAGATTTATATATTACTTGTTCACTTCTACTATTACATTTACTCAAAACATGAACAAAGGGCCATTCTAAATTGCTCTTCAGCATAGACAATGCACAAAGCACGACGAAACAAAGTAAAACGGTAATTGCTCATGAGATATGTTTGGTGGTAATGTGCTGCCCTAAGTGAATTCTTCACCTCAGCCCTGGAGCCCAAACTATACTTCACTTTCACCCTTACCATAAACCTAATCTGAAACCAATACTAAATCTATTCATATCGCTATAATTATTTCAACTTAACAAAGCCCGGCCCATTTTTGTTGCCGGTGTAAATGCTGAATCACCGCAAATTCGAACTTGAAGGCAAACAAAATGTTATAATCAAATAGCAGACATGTCTGAAGCATCCTTAAAGTTGGAAAATACAATTCACGATTCGACTAGATGAGATTTGCAGATAGAAGGCCGGGTTTCACAACGATGCTGAAAGCTGTATCCTGAAGTCCTTATAGTTTTAGAAGTTCAAGACGAAGATGGCAAAAAGCATTAAACTGATCTTGTGTATCTTGTATAAACAATTCTTTAATAAATAAAGATGTGAATAAATTAATGAATAAATAACTCATGCAAATCTTCTGTAAAAAGCACACCAAGCCGAACATTATTAATAAACTAAAATTCCCGAAATGAAACATCCGAGCATACTAGGAAAGAAATCAAGGCTGCAGTGTTTATCAAGACGTTTCTCTATAATTTCTGCTTTCGTGTGCATGTTTTAACCAGTACCACTTCCACCACCAATAAGGAGGATAGATGGGGGTCCAAACAGATTTGAATAACATAAGGTAAATAAGATTTTAAAGCATGTGTATGCTACTATGCTAATCAACTAGGGGACCTACGCCCTTAAGTCATAAATGACAGCAATGAGGATTAATGCCCCACAAAAGGGCACTAATATGGCACATCGACACGGTTTTGATCATGGGGCCTCACAGTTACGAGGCCATTGCTTTGCCGCTGAACCATGACTGTACGCAGTGGGGGCTAGGGTAGGGGGAAGTTCCCACAAATAAAAAATAAAAAAGAAAATGCAATAAATTATCAATAATTCATTGAATTTTCCCTCGGTCCCCAACATAAAAAATCCTCTGTACGGCCATGCATTGTGGCTTAAGGCATGGGCACACAGAAGATCAGTCACGCAAAACAAACACTGGTAAATTATTATTCAATAAAATCTGAGAATGTATACTATTATCTAGATCTATTAGAAATAAATCATTGTCAAAATAATTCCATAAATTCGGGTACAAAAAAATACAATATTCTACATATTCGTATAATTAATAATCAGAACTTAAATTAATTTATGAACGACGTGTTATTTTGTTCGCCTACTCCTGTCATTAATTTAATGATGCCAGAGTTGTACCAAACAATAGTCAGCACAATCATTGTTACTGTTTCTACATCCTTGATTACTAAATAAGCTCGTACATAGGCGTGTTAAATGAGCGGAGGGTGGATTTTTTAAAAGATCAAATCTCCCGTTGAGTTTCTACATTATGTCTCGATCAAAGCGGCACATCATTTAATTCGTCTCCGTCACGAATTCAATGTCTAGATACATTATCTATGATGGACTTATTTAGTCCTCCACAGCTGTTTGGGCTGTTTGTGAGCCGTGCTATCTTTTTAGATACAAAATTATCATGCAAAGATCCATATCAATTCCAGTCACATCTAGCGACTCGAGTATTGCCTGCTTTCGGACTATAGTTTGCGGATGTTGGATAATAAGTATGTATATCTATATAACATTATAAATGTTCAACAAATATATGCCTTCGTTCGAATGCTTAAAGAGCAAGCATCAGCGATACGTCATCTAGTGAAACTTCGGATTCGCCGAAAGTAGAAGAGCAGGAGATGGAGCAAGAGGAGCAGGGGAACTGGGGGAGGAGCTGTAGGAAGATAGAGGAGAATCAGCAGGGGCGGTAGCAGAAGCAGGAGGATGAGTTGGAAGAGCATTAGAGGACGAAGAAGAGGAGGAGGAGAAGGAGAAGCTAGAATGAGGATATGTACATTTTAAAGCTAACTAATTAAATATGTTTTCCACCTCATCTTTCTCATATATTCCTCTTACTTACACTTCCCTTCGTTTTCTTTCATTCTATTCTCACCTTTTGTTGATTCTTACTCCTTGCTCCTATTTCTCACTCATCCCTTCTTCTTTTCCAAACTCATTTAATTTTGATATAGAGTTTTAATATGATGATTTTTTTTCAATATATTCTGTCTTCGTTCTAAGACTATTGTACTTAGTAAGAAGGATTGGAGGAGCAGGGAGAGGATAATCAGGATGAGGTGGAGAAGGTGGATGAGGAGAAGTTCGTAGATGAGGAGGAGGGGCTAAAGTTAGAAGGGTTGGAGGAGCAGGGAGAGGAGAAGCAGGATGAGGTGGAGTAGATGGATGAGGAGAAGTCCGTAGAGGAGGAGGAGGGGCTAAAGTTAGAAGGGTTGGAGGAGCAGGGAGAAGAGAAGCAGGATGAGGTGGAGAAGGTGGATGAGGAGAAGTTCATAGATGAGGAGGAGGGGCTAAAGTTAGAAGGGTTGGAGGAGCAGGGAGAGGAGAAGCAGGATGAGGTGAAGGAGGTGGATGAGGAGAAGTCTATAGAGGAGGAAGGGATAAAGTTAGAAGGATTGGAGGAGCAGGGAGAGGATAATCAGGATGAGGTGGAGAAGGTGGATGAGGAGGACTTCGTAGAGGAGGAGGGGCGAAAGTTAGAAGGATGGGAGGAGGAGGGAGAGGAGAAGCATGACGAGGTGGAGTAGGTGGATGAGGAGGAGTTCGTAGAGGAGGAGGGGCTTAAGTTAGAAGGGTTGGAGGAGCAGGGAGAGGAGAAGCAAGATGAGGTGGAGTCATGGGCGTCAATCCTTACGTAATACCTATTGTTCAGGGGGGGGGTGAATGAATAGATCATCCCCCCCTGAACAATAGGTATCAATTACAGATCTACGCCCATGGGTGAAGTAGGTGGATGAGGAGGAGTTCGTAGAGGAGGAGGGGCGAAAGTTAGAAGGATTGGAGGAGGAGGGAGAGGAGAAGCATGATGAGGTGGATTAGGTGGATGAGGAGAAGTCCATAGAGGAGGAGGAGGAGCCAAAGTTAGAAGGGTTGGAGGAGCAGGGAGAGGAGAAGCATGATGAGGTGAAGAAGGTGGATGAGGAGGAGGGGTAAAGTTAGAAGGGTTGGAGGAGCAGGGAGAGGAGAAGCATGATGAGGTGGAGTAGGTGGATGAGGAGAAGTTCGTAGATGAGGAGGAGGGGCTAAAGTTAGAAGGGTTGGAGGAGCAGGGAGAGGAGAAGCAGGATGAGGTGAAGGAGGTGGATGAGGAGAAGTCTATAGAGGAGGAAGGGATAAAGTTAGAAGGATTGGAGGAGCAGGGAGAGGATAATCAGGATGAGGTGGAGAAGGTGGATGAGGAGGACTTCGTAGAGGAGGAGGGGCGAAAGTTAGAAGGATGGGAGGAGGAGGGAGAGGAGAAGCATGACGAGGTGGAGTAGGTGGATGAGGAGGAGTTCGTAGAGGAGGAGGGGCTTAAGTTAGAAGGGTTGGAGGAGCAGGGAGAGGAGAAGCAAGATGAGGTGGAGTCATGGGCGTCAATCCTTACGTAATACCTATTGTTCAGGGGGGGTGAATGAATAGATCATCCCCCCCCCTGAACAATAGGTATCAATTACAGATCTACGCCCATGGGTGAAGTAGGTGGATGAGGAGGAGTTCGTAGAGGAGGAGGGGCGAAAGTTAGAAGGATTGGAGGAGGAGGGAGAGGAGAAGCATGATGAGGTGGATTAGGTGGATGAGGAGAAGTCCATAGAGGAGGAGGAGGAGCCAAAGTTAGAAGGGTTGGAGGAGCAGGGAGAGGAGAAGCATGATGAGGTGAAGAAGGTGGATGAGGAGGAGGGGTAAAGTAAGAAGGATTGGAGGAGCAGGGAGAGGAGAAGCATGATGAGGTGGAGTAGGTGGATGAGGAGAAGTTCGTAGAGGCCGGAGGGGCCAAAGTTGGAAGGGTTGGAGAAGCAGGGAGAGGAGAAGCAGGATGAGACGGATGAGGAGGAGTTCGTAGAGGCCGGAGGGGCTAAAGTTAGAAGGACTGGAGGAGCAGGGAGAGGAGAAGCAGGATGAGGTGGAGGAGTTTGTCAAAAAGGAGGGGTAAAAGCAGGAGTTTGAGGGTGAGCAATTTGAGGAGCAGAAAGGGGAGGAGAAAGATGGAAGATCGATTGGAGCAACAGCAGGAGGAGGAACAGTTTGAACGGAAGGAGGAGGAGAAGAGGGAAGAGAAGCAGACACTATGAACATGACTGACAATGAGAGCGGACAAAATATACAGTTCCTCAGGTAGACAAAGGAACATCCCTTCACTGCTATTATGTAAAAATGTGTAGAACAGGTGTCACATGCATATTCACCTTTTTACATAATAGCTGTGAAGGGATGTTCCTTTGTCTACCTGAGGAACTGTATATTTTGTCCGCTCTCATTGTCAGTCATGTTCATAGTGAGATTGAGGTTGATAAGGAAGACAGTGTACGTAGAGGAGGAGGAGCTAAAGTATGAGGATGAGCAGTTGGAGCAGTAGACGAAGAAGCAGGCCGAACTGGAGAGGGAGCTAGGAGGAAGAAGAAGAAGACCAAGAGTGTAATGTATTTACCTAAAGAGGGCGTTATCAGATTTACATGTACATGCTATTAGTACCATAGATTGCCACTCGAAACATGGCTGCCTACACACATGCCTTTCACACAATAAACGGTGTTCTGAATGTGCTACTTCTCACCCAGGCGCGTACGCAGGGCGGGAAGGGGGGGGGGGGTCGAACCCCCCTCACTTCTTGTTTGTGTTTTGGTTGAAACCCCCCTCTCTCAATTTGTGTTTAATAAAAAGAATTATTTAAAAAAAATTGTCCCAAGGGTGACCAAAAAAGCTGACCTTACCCCCCCCCCCCCCCCAACGGAACGAAATATCGATTGGCCGGCCAAATTTTAAAACCCCCACTTCGTAAAAAGTCCTGCGTACGTGCCTGTTCTCACCATTAGTTGGGTTTGATGGTTTTTCCTACCACTGTGTGGCAAAACGTTAAATTTCGTGTCACCATTATTATAGACTACAAATGAATATATCAAATAAACTTTAAGATAAAACAAAATTCAATATTATTCACTTTTGTGTGGAGTCGGGTAAAATAAGTTGTGAAATATACACAAAACGGAGGAGAATAGAAATAGGGGGCTTGATTGACGGGGAAAGGAGAGAGAAGAGAAAACGTGAGAGAGGGGTGGGAGCAGAGAGAGAGAGAGAAGGAAGAGAGGAAGGGAGGGGCCGTGATTTATGTGATAAAATTAGAGAATGACAAGTTTGAAAATATATAACATAGGAGAGAGCACGAGAGAAAGTTAGAATAGGCGAAAGAAAGTAAAAAGATAAAGAGAGAGAGAGAGAGAGAGGGGCGGTGGCGGAGTAAAAGAGGTAATAACGATATGTCTTGAATAAACAACCAGTTGAATGAAATGACAATTCTTTTTTGAATGCCCTTTAATAACGGCAAATGCAAATTAGCAAGGCTACGTTATTCCATATACTATATGTAATATCGGAAATATGAGAGTTTTTTTTTTTCCTTCTCATTTCTTAATTCTAATCTTTACAACATTTGTTTTCATTTACCGTGGACCCCCCCCCCCCCCTTCCCGGGCCAGAATTTATTTTAATTGTTTTGCTTGTCACATAATTGTATGACTTGTAACCCCCTCCTCCTCCCCCGCCAGAGAAACATGGATACGCCACTGCGTGTGTAAATGGCATCTAAGGTGAGCTTTATTTGCTCTAAAATCAACGCTGTATGATGTCAAAACTGACCCCTCAATTCTCTTCGGCTTACCTATTACCATTATATTATCGCAATGCATAGCTAAAGAAGTAGTTATTAATGAAGTAGATGACATATAAATAATTCATGCTGTTCTAGCGTACGTAATTGACCACTTGACATCATGCTACTTGTGTAGTCAAGAGAGATAGATGACTTGGACGCACCTGTACAAAAAGTAATTGATTTCAGTAGTCATATTGCGTGGACCTAGTTAGGAACTAGGCTCTATGATAGCCCGGATAGTAGCCCACCAAATTCCCTAGGTACCAATTATATGGAGTAGCTAATTCACCAGGCGCGCCGGGAGCAGTTTGGGATTAAGGGGGGGGGGGCAAAAATTCCAGGGGGCTCATCTTTCAGCAGCAGTGCATGGAGTATTGAGCAAAAAACGTTTGGGGGGGGGGTGGCAGAAGAAAAATCTGCATCACCACCACTCTAATATGTTACATGCAGGCCTCGCGGAACGCTTTTAATATAGCTAAAACAATGTTTATTGACTAAAATCGACCGATCTGATATTCTCGTTTTTAAATTATATGACACAATTGTATATTCTGAGATTTTCATGATCGCAGCTACCATTGGATGGCCGTATAAGCCATTTGAATTTAAAAAAAATTTATTTGTATATTCAATGTTTCTCGGAAAATCTGAGACACTGTCTGTTAATCTTAGCTTAATCTAATCTTGGATGGCCGTATAAGCCATTTGAATTTTTTTTAAATTAATTTGTATATTCAATGTTTCTCGGAAAATCTGAGACACTGTCTGTTAATCTTAGCTGAAAGATGACTGAATGTTACAATCATTTGGGAATCGCAGACAAAAAGCACTGTATGGTAGCCGCGCTCGCACAAATTAAGTTTTAACACGTAAACAGATGGGGATCGCAGCAAAACTTTACTATTTTCCCGGTACCCGGAATCTCGCGGGAATCTCACTCATGAACTATTAACCGGTACTGGCATTGTACGTTTCTTTACGGGAATGGCTAAAATCACGACTCCAATTTCGACCAAGCAGATGGCTAGATTTCTAAAGATAGGTATAACTTATATAGAACGTTTTGATAACTTATGAGAACCCCATTTTTATATACCTATTCCTCTTAACATAGCTGTTTCTATAGCGGCTCGCGGGGCGGCGCGCCGAGTGATCATATCAGGATGTAACGTCTCCTTGAGCCTATATGAACGGCGATGCCTCTCATAGCAGTCAATATATCTATAATAATACACCCCCTTCTAGTCATATATCTGTATAATATTGACCGCTTAGCCCTTTTAGCATTACAAACGAGTGTAATATGATTTTGTAAACCACTTCTCAGATGTCTGATACGGATAATGAAATAAGATATTAAATTAAATGATTTATAGGGGTTTTAATGCACATAATTTTTATAGCAATAATTTTGACAACACTGAAGTACAAAGTCCGTGGTTTATTGACCCTATCCTTACTAAAAATAAGCCTCGCTCTGATTATTACAAATACACATGCATTACTATTTGTAATATAATATAATTTCATACATGAATGACTATTTGGTGCCCTTTGGAACCTCTATAGTCTGTAGAAGACATATATTAAACAGTAACATTTGCATTGCATGAACATACTGCTTAAATCAATTGCATTTGGCTGTTCCTCTCGAAACGTAGGCAGGTAGTCATTCAAAATGGCTTCTTCAAACGCGGGTTTGAAGACGAGGCTTTCTTCATTACGACATGAAATATTGTCGTACAAACCAGGCAAGGCTGTACCTTTTGATGATGAACGAGTGGTGTTTCCTGATAAGCTTGTCATTGGTATGATATATCCGTACAAGAGTTTGCTCGACATAGTCCCTGCCCTGAGACGCGCTCTTTATGGAGAGGTGGAGGCGATCAAGCTTGCTGATAAACGTCAACCATCTACTCAGAATCAGGAGGAATACCTCACCGATTCTATATCTGTCATCATAAAAAGTTGCCCTGGTTTGTATATTGAAACAAATGCAATTAATGTTGTTTTATTTGTGTTTGTTGTAATTCAAATGACACTGCGCCTCCACTATGAACCTGTATCTATGGGATAAAAGCTATTTTCTTAACCCTTGGGTGTGTTTTCGGTGAAATAATGAACTGTATGGGCGAATTATGTGTTTAGTATTACTAAACCAACGGAATGCTCTTTGGCCCTAAATAAACTAGCATTGTGTAGAATTTCTAACAAGCATTTATAAAATATCTTTTCAGTATCATGAAGCTCAAATATATAAATATATTTCAATTTCATGACAGGGAGTGATGTCTTGTGCTTTTTCAAACATCATTATTTTACTGTTGTTGTTATGGTGTTTCTGTTTCTGGTTTTGGAATTGTACCAATACTGCCCACTGTAATTATTATAAAATTATCACATGGCATATATAGGCCTACATAGATTCATCATGATTTTTGTTCCTTCCTTAGTAAGATTCCACGACTTTCAAACCCTTGTACGGTTCTCTTCATGAAAGGGATAATGTTCACTGTTTCTATTATCACAAAAATAACATATTGTGTGGTTACCTTAAAATATGTTATCGCACAAACAATTCATTAATTCGTGTTATTCTGGCATATATAGGCCTACATAGATTCATCATGATTTTTGTTCCTTCCTTAGTAAGATTCCACGACTTTCAAACCCTTGTACGGTTTTCTTCATGAAAGGGATAATGTTCACTGTTTCTATTATCACAAAAATAACATATTGTGTGGTTACCTTAAAATATGTTATCGCACAAACAATTCATTAATTCGTGTTATTCTGGCATATTGCAAATACTTTATAGAACTACACAAGCTTGTTTTTAATCTATTCTCTATGTCTGCATGTAGGCTAAATGTCATGTTCATATAGTATCCCAGAGGTTCATCTTGCATAATGTATTAAACACGTTTTCTCTTACCATTTCACTAGGTTTATACAAACGAGATGTACAATACCTTGATGAGAAGGTTGGATGTATGGTGCTGTTATTTCAGTGAGTAGTAGTTTTCGATCTCCATATTCACATGGGCCCTAAATAATTTGACTTAAATCAAATAAAAACAAATTTATCGCAAATCTGAAAACAAATGATTTACAATGATTAAGTAGAAAACACTGGTTTAGCGCTTTAATCAAAATGCCCTAAACGCGCATATTAATGATTGTAATAATAATTTCTAACAGAATTCAAACAATTACTTCAGGTATTGATTTATTGATAGTTATCTTCATTTTCGTTCTATTTTATTTTATTTCTGTATTTTTCCAAATATGATAACTGAATAAAAAAGAACATATAAACTTAAGGTATAATACGAAATATACAAGCAATAATAACTTTATGTCAAAATGTTGTTTTTACATAATATGTACATATATTAACGAACATTAATATTTCTATAACATATCATTATAAATTGAAAGTATTATCCAAACTATGAGTTGAAAATTGCCCTAACTTTCACCAATGTGCTTCTCTGAAATGCCCTTTTTGTATAGCCCCTTGCTGATATTGTTCGCGTTTCCCTTTCACATTTCTTCATGACCTCTTAATTAATGGGTGTCTTGCACGAAGAAGTTATTTAGATGCTCATAACATGTGCCATATGGGGTGTAGCGGTAATGTCCACGGTCAGCTCTCTGATTTAACCTACAAACTGATAATAATAGGACTCAGGTTCGAAACTGAGTCACGTCTTTCGGATGGTGACATTAAAGGGCCACGCTAACCAAACCGGCCTAAAAATGAAGAAAAAAAAGACATGTAAAGTAATCTTTGACGGAGATTTCGAACATGTCAATGATTTTTCTTAGAAATCATCAATAATTCAGGAATCTAGCTTTACAAATGACAATTTAAAACGCTCAGAAAAAAAGCCCAGTTTCGGAACTGTATTGCGCAATTGCATGTGACGTCACTGCAGGAGGGAGATTTAGGCATTAAAATGGCTATAAGAAAGTATGACATTAATTGGAGAAAAAAAAGACGTTTATCCGAAAATAATCCGCAGTTGATATTCCCAGTTCGTTTCTGGCAATTTCCTAATTATTAAATTATCAAATCGGACATGCCCGCAATGACGTCAAATGCGTCATCAATCCACGTGACCGTATTACCTTTTTTTCGAGGGCGTAGACCAGCAAGCGTGAGATCTGTGAAAATGGATGGTTATTATCATGTTTTGGTCAATTAAGAGATTTTCTGAAAAATCAGAGGCTGGAATATAAATATGTAGAGGTGTATTCATGTTTTAAAAGGCTATGTTAGCTGGGTTAGAGTGGCCCTTTAAAATTCGGTCTCAGAAGTAACATATAGCTCCGTTTAGTCTCATTTGACAACGCCCCCTATCGTCAGAGTCAGCAGCCTAACATGTTAGCTTATGGACTTTTACCAAAAAAATCGTTACAAATTCATTTTTTGTTTAAACGAAAAGCACATCCACCCCGACGTACGTTATCACTAGCTCTTTCATTGGAACCCTCATGTCTCATTGACTTTTGAAAGTTCACCCACCTTAATTTCATCAAAATAGGTCGCAATTTCGCCATTGCCTATATAACGCATGTACAACAAGTCGAACTTTGGACTCAATTTACCACGCGATTATAAGGTTATAAGTCAAGTACACGAAGGATATGAAGCATGAATTATCATAGATCAGTTCTGATTTGTTCATTATGTCCATTTCATCCAACCCCCAACCGTAATTTTCCATTCAGTAGAGGCAAGCATTTTGCCGAGGTAAGCAAAATCATGAATATTCATGAATGGTCAGACAATACAGCCTTTTAGTACGTAACGTATAGTGAGCCGTATCGCTCTTGGAAGTGTAAAATGGCGGCCACGCGTGCGAGCCCACTTCAAGCGTTATCACGGGCGGGAATGGGCGATGATCAGTCTAGGAGGTAGAGGTCAGTGGTTTGTGCTGGCAATGTTTCAGCGAGCGAAAATGAGACAACCGGAGCAATATAGAAGGGAATGAACTCAATTTTTTTTTTTAATCACTAATGGCGTATAAACGGGGGAGCCAGAGATGGCACTTTCCCCGGGTGGCATTTTAAGGAGCGGAAAAAACGCAAAGAAAGGTAGAAACACAACTATAAAGAAGAAAAGGTAGAAAAGACATTATCCGTTATAAAAAAAAATGCACCTAACACGAAGCGTAATGTCCATTAGAAATAGATATTTTCAAGCATCAACATGCAATCATTATAAAAATATTTGTGGCTTTGCTCCGTCGCATAATCATCCAGCTCCTTCAGGGTCTTATAATATTTATTACATTAGTTTTTGTCTTTGAGGTGCAAGAATTATTTCCCCATCCATTGGTAAATTAAAACACCTATCCCCTTGTCCGATGCCTATTCTGGACATAATTTGTCAGAGCGCTAACAAACACTGCATCTTTGAACATTTGATGGAGCGAAGCGACTAAGCGAGCAAATGTGCATGTTGATTTGCAGAAAGCTAGCATGTTAGAACCAAAGTTAGAACACTAAGAAGTAAGAACGATTATCATAATCGTTGTATTTTATAAGAAATTCATACAAATTATTTTCTTTGAGGTGGCCTTCGGTAAGTGGCGGGTTGCAGAGTCAAATTGTACGCATGGTATCTGCAACATACGCCTTTTTTTGGAGGGGGGGGGGGGGTGGGTATAATATAAAGTAGCGTAGCACCTAACTACAGAGAATAATGAGAAAATCTAGGCTTTAGAAAGTTTAAACTGCACTTACAATCGGAAAGCTTTACTGAAATAACTTATTGTCTTTTAGGCGGAAAAGGTATTCCCCCATCTATTGGTAAATAGAAGCGTATGCCTTCTTGCTTTCGTTGCCTATTATACACAAAAATATGAAAGCGCTAGCAAACACTGCATCTTCTAACATATTTTGAAGGAGAGGAGCGACTGGGCGAGACAATTTCAATTTTGCTTTGCAGAAAATGTGCATGTCATAGAACTAGGAGGCTCATTATAATCGTTGTAGCGTATACAAAATACATACAATTTATTTCTCGTGGGGGGGGGGGGTGGTGTCGGCTTTGGGTGGAGCTTGGGATGCAGAATCAAATTGTAAGCACATTGTTATCATTAACCCTATAATCATCATCGCGTGATTAATAATGATTCTGAATCGGTGCATTTTCCCATTTCTATCTTTAGCCCGGATAATATTATATTTAGCTCACAATGGATCAAGGTGATACAGGAGGTAACAGGTGAGTTTGGCCCTAATCCTGGTAGGTAGGACAATATACTGAAGACGTATGAAGGTGTATCTTCAAACAATTGTGAATTAATAAGCAATTGCACTTTTGATACACACCATATACGCCATCGTATAATCCGTATTGATTAAAAGAATGGATAAAATGACAAGATGAATAAATGAATAACACTACGAGCCAGGCTACGTTCATGCATGATGCTTTTAAATATGCAGGTTGGTACATTTTGTTTGCATATAATGATTGAGTCATTTGCACTGATATTAAATGTGTAGTTACATGTTTCTAACGATAGTGACACCTGATACATAATCATTTTTAATCAGGTATCACTAGAACATGAAACAATCGAGGAACAACCATTATTCATTTCATATTATCCGCACATTTCTACAAGCAATAATGATCTTGATATCCAGTTCTTAGGCTATCTTAGTTTTCTATATTACCCATTATTCAAAATTATCACGCATTTAATTACACATCAATAAATCCGATCAAGTCGATATCGTGGACTCTAACACGCCCTTCGTCCGCTCATTTTGTAAATTCCTTCGTGAAGTGCATGCATGTTGATACTTATACCCCATCTTGTGTAGGCCTATATCATATAATAGTCCTGTGGGGTTACACTATTTCCTCATTTACATTTGATTCATAATCATCAAATCCATTGAAATTTTTGGACAAGTTTCATTTTTCTATTTTATTCTGTGTATATATGTACTCAATTGCACTCGGTTTGTAATTTATTTGAAACATCATGGTGTGTATTATCTAACATTCCCACAAAACATCTACCCCGCTCTCGTGTTCAAATGGTCGACTTTGTTACTCTAACCATGGACCTATGTATGAAACTTAAGTACAACCCAAAGCCAACGATTTCAACATGAGCACGACGAAACCATCAGGACGTTATATTTGGATAAAACATATCGTCGCTGTTTTCACGAAGTGACGGTAGTGAAAAAAAATTGCATTCACTTTGCGTGACGATTTTACTAACTACCGTCACTTCGTGAAAACAAGGACGATATGCTCAGTAGTTTTTTCCACCAATCTGTTTGTCTATCCTAAAATATATCATTTACTACTTAATATGCATTAAAGGTACTATGTCCCATTTGCAGGCCAAACAAATGAAAAGGTTAAATTCCAATGGCATTTGAAAATAAATACCAATTTAGAAGCTCCCTAAAAAAAAGGGGGGGGGGGCTTGACAATGTCTTTAAGTAGGAAAATAACGACTATTAGTTGTCGAATCGACTTGGAGCTATAGGGCCAGTAAGTAATAATCTGATTTTCAGACCATTGTACCGAATGGTCGTATGTTTTGTGCTGCGCAAAGATTCAATCAGTTTAATTTTGGCCATTACAAGAAGTGGGTTATTAATGTAGACAAAAGCTCATGTACCATTTACAGCTCATTTTATGCATGTTATTACCAAAGAGAGGAAAAAAAAATTGTCACTCAATAGTGTCTGACAGTGAAGTCTAGCAAGTAAACGGTTTCCTTGCATAATTTGATTATTAGGACACTGCTAACGTTTAGATTTCACATATAGGACAAACATGACATATTCATAATTCCTGCAAAGTTCTACATAATTTGATGTTGGCTGCAAAGGGGACATAGTACCTTGAAGGATAACAATTCTTTTCAATTATGAGGCATGGGGTGATTAACAGTTAAATATAATAATTACAATGCTCACATCAAATACCCCGTATTATATAAATCGAACACAACGTGATTTTTACTACATTTATTTATTTCATAATGATAGTTTTAACATTATCACTGGTCTTTACACTGACGACCGCTCTTAAGATTTCCCATCATGTTCCATTTTATTGTTGTCGGTCGCAGTTGTTGTAATCAAACGATATCATAACATCACATTGTCATTAGGCTGTTTTATAACATGATGAAGCGGCTCCTAATCAAATTATTGGTTGAGAGCGTACACGTGACCAGGCATTTTTTTTTTTGCCTAACATGTAATTTTACTAATGACCGCACATTAGTAAAATCATGTTATACAACATAATTTTATGAAACAAATAATACACATAATTTTGTTCGGGCATTAGTAAAATTACCTTTGAAACAGTCCAAACACCCTCGGCTATCGCCTCGGGCGTGTTAAACTGTTCCAAAGGTACCTTGTGTGGGTTATTATTACTAATGCCCTCACTGATGTGTATTATCTGTATATTATCCTGATTACCTCAACTCATTTGCCTACCATGAATGCTAAATTTAATTTCCATTTTCACAGTTGTAAATGTATATCTCCTGACTCTTAAGGTTCAATCCTCACCCCGACTCCTCTGCCGTCTCTCGTCTACTTCTCTCATCACATTTCACCCATTCTATTCACAATTCACATATGGCGGTATATATTCATAACAATGCCACTCAACGAAGTTAATGAGACAAATTAACAAACCACAAACATAGATGAATGAAGCATTGCAGATTCTCTCCATTCATTTGTGTCAAAGTACATCACCCCCCCCCCCCCCCCAAAAAAAAGAAAAGAAATAAGGTCACGTATGTGTGGTAAATAGAATTCATAACATCATCATGACATTAAATGTCATTTCTAATGAACTCATTGAATATGTTTCAATTGGAAAGGTCGCGTCCCTCTATGTGCCATATTTTCTAACATGAGATGTGAAGAAATCGAAAAATTGAAAACTGATTTAAATCATCTCGGGATCACTAATATCTACGAACTTGCTCCGCCTGATCGCATTAGCTCAGATAGGGAGAGGTTGCAGTGGCTTGACCTCATACGTGGATGCCTTCAAGCAGGTGACAGAAGGTTAGCAATAAATGAACTGATGAATGTAATAAAGCTGGCAAGACTTGAGGTTGAGCGATTACAGACCGAAAAGGAGGATGAAAGAGCAAGAGCTGGAAAAGAGAAGTGGTCACTAGCAGCTGAAATGACGAAGAAACTCGAGTCTAAACAACATCATGTAGACAGTTTGACAGAATTGCTAGAGGAGAAAGAGCGAAATGAGACGACACTAAGACAGCAAGTGGAAGAATTAAAGAAAGAAGGAGAGAAAGAGAGAGCAAGAGGTGAACAAGAGAAGCGCTCACTGGCGGCAGAAATGACGAAAGAAATCGAGTCTAAGCAACAGCGTGTGGACAGTTTGACAGAAATTGTACGAGAGAAAAAGCGAAACGAGTCGTCTCTAAAACAGCAAGTTGAAGACTTAAAGAAAGAAGGAGAGGAAGACAGAGCAAGAGGTGAACTGTAGAAGCGCTCACTGGCGGCAGAAATGACGAAAGAAATCGAGATTAAGCAACAGCGTGTAGACAGTTTGACAGAAATTGTACGAGAGAAAGAGCAAAATGAGACGACTCTAAGACAGCAAGTGGAGGAATTGAAGAAAAGAGGGGAGGAAAACAGAACAAGTGGTGAACAGGAGAAGCGCTCACTGGCAGCACAAATGACGAGAGAAATCGAGTCTAAGCAACAGCGTGTAGACAGTTTGACATAAATGCTTGAAAAGAAAGAACGAAATGAGACGACTCTAAGACAGGAAGTGGAGGAATCAAAAAAAGAAAGAGAGGAAGACATAGAGCGATTTGAAAAGGAAAAACGGTCAGTAGAACAACTTGAGCGAGAGACCTGGAAGCTGAGAACCAAAATTCAACTAGAAAGTGAGATGCGATCAGCAGAGCAGATCAAGAAAGCAAAGACACCTCAATGGAGTTTCATTCCTTGGGTGACTTCTGGAAAACAGGCTCAGGGTGGTAAGATTTTAATTTCCAATATCATCTTCCTTTTCAACTCTATTTCGTTTTAACATTATACTACAGTATTTAACTGTCATCCCATTTGTTGCTACATTTTGAAATGCTTTTTATGTGGAGCTTATCACCCCATTTTTGCTCTTTTGGAAATATTTTAAAATGTAAGCTTATCACTGCCCAAAATTTTCTAAAAACTAAATTGATATATAAATATACTTTGTTGTTTGAACAAAGAAATAACGCAATTCGATTACATTATCCAGGGAAACTCGAGCAATGTAATACATTATTTACACTTGAGATTTTTTTTTTTTAATAATAGAGATGGAGTGAACGCGAGAGATCATTATACATGTTTTCTCCTATATTTGTGTTTCTCATTCAAACTGACTTCATTCCCTCATGACAGGCACATCATCATTCGAGGATAGTTTATCCGGAGGACTGGGAAGCCGGCAGTGACACATTACTAGCAGGGTGAGATGAAATAACTTTACTTCTTACGTGACAACCCCGGCCGCGTCATACCAAACGACTTTAAAGATGGGAGTTGCTGCTACCGTGTTTGGCGTTCAACAATAAGGGATAGAGCAACGTCGATCTGGCGCTGCTCAGTGGCTGCCGGGCTCACGATCAATTGGGCAAAAAGAATTTCCATTTTCGGTTTAACTAAATAAAATTTGGAGTGGACTTTAAAAGATTATTATTATTATTATTATTATTTTATCTTGTAGTGACATTACTACGAAATAACTGCCTTATTCAAAATGAGTGGTGCTAGACGGTCAATAACGGTTCTTAATATACGGCGGCACTTATGTTCCATAAATTCAAATCACTTAGCAAATTCATTTTTGTTTGAATTTCTTTTTAATTTAATGATTAATCAAGAAGCAGAAGTTAAGCAAATATTACAATTCAATAACCAAATGATAAGAAAAAAGAAAAACAAAATCTTAGCTGCATTCCAGTCTGTGAATTTCTTAAATGAATTTCCAATTTCTGATTTAAGCATGTTGAGTATGGTGTTATCATCGGAAGAACTTTTTTTCTATCGTTATTTTAAATTCACTTAAGCAAAGATTTTGATCAATATTTAACGTGATACATCATACCTATATCCTTTGACCTCCCCCCCCCCCCCCCCAGGTTTTTAATTATATTCTTTATTACCGTGTACCATCCTAGAGAGGAGCACCCAGATGATGAGTTTGCAGACATTTTAAAGCAGATAGCTGTCGAACTTTACGATGAAGACAAGATTGACAGCCTTGGTGGTCAACTGGGATTTCTACAGGGTGATATACAGAGAGCACACATGACCAATATGAGGTTCAACCGTGTTACCAGTGATGGAACTCGTCATATGCTGAACCAATGGAGAAGAGGTGTATCCAGGGAAGATGAACGGGTAGAGCTCAGGAAGGCACTGCAAGCTGCCAAGTTGGTCAACCTTGCAGAACAGTTTCTCAGGGAAGGTAATGTATGATGTTCTCGGAAGAAAGACCAAAATCAACACTTTGGCAACATGAGATTTATAGGCACATTTGCAATACACCCCATGTGTTTAGTTCAGAGATAGTATTTTAAAATTGAAGTCTATTTTCCACATTCAAAATACCGATAATTTGTTGTCGATTTAATGTTGAGAAAATGTAAAAAAGACATTTTTATTTTTACTGAATAGATGGTAAGTTGACGTAGTGAAGAGAAAAAAGATTATGTGCTATTTTCCGTTTCACTATTTCTCAATAATAGTTGTGTACAAGCGAAAAAATATGCTTATGTGTATCTTAAAGCATTCTCTGCAAAGAACAATTGGCCTTTATTACTGTATCATGAACTTAAATTAACCCGGCCGTGTTAGAAAATTGAAATTCACTCTGATAAGTTCTACATAATCATGATAACCGCGATTAGATATGTTTTTAGAAACCACTTTTCCTACTATTTGCCATATACAACAGATACACAGATCGATGCTGAATATGTAAACGAAGACGCCGACGATCAGCAGCTCTCTATCAGAGATGGGACCTCTCAAGAACAGGACCGGACCGAACGACATACTGACACCAAGGTACTTCAGGGAACTACAGCAAGCAGTGACCACACTCCACGAGATGGGCATACAGGAGACATGGCTTCCAAAACCCAGGAGGGCTTGAAAGATGGAAGTAGGAGTCAACATCCTGACAAGTCTTTGAAGCGCAGTACAGAAAAATTTGATGCACCTGCAGTGATTTCTGAAGACGTGTCCTCTGGAGAAGTTAATGCTGGTGATGATATGACCGATGTAAGTAGCATTCAACCTGCTGAACCATCGTCCAGCCATGATGTGCAAGTCCTACCTGAAGACATGTCTGGGATAGCCCCTCTGGTATCTTCTGGTGAGAAACCTAACGAGGAATCCACCATCTTGGATAAAAGTCATGTACTAGGTGGAATCTTAAGTGACGGAGAAGATCTGATTTCTCAACTCGTTCTTATTGATACATCCCCGGAGAAAATATTCCTCCTTTTACTTGTAAAAATAATGATGGGTGTTTCCCAGAAAGCATTCAGGTTATAAGAAATCACCGGAGAACCTTCGGCAAACCAAGTTTACTTACATTCTTTTAGCTTGCGACGTTTCAGATCTACTCCCGGACGCTTCATCGCGGGCCGACTGGTCTGTGTCACCAAATGATTGTTGACCCATGAACATGGTGCTGTGGTCGAGGAACGAACTGCCCTTCTCTGTTAACCTTTCAAAGACTCGCCGATATTGTCGGCCTGATGAAGCGTCCAGCAATAGACGTAAAACGTCGCAAGCGAAAAAAGTAAATCCAGCTGATTTGTTTATATCATTTGATATATCATTTAATTGCTGAAAAGAAATCATAATTCGAAGCAGAAGAATCGATTTTTTTAAATAAAAAAAGCTGCAACGCTATTTGCTTCTCATGTATCTACCGCCGGTTTGAAATAGATAAGTAAATAAATGAATACATGAAACACTAACGAAATAAATGAATGAATAATACATATGAAAGTAATGCATAACATACATAAGAGATATGTATCCAACACACTGTACATACATATAGTTATATCATAAATGTATCTTCTTTAATATTTTGTTTGTCTCTGTTTTCATATAATTATACTCGTATATCTTGGCGTAATAGGCGTATAATTGTGTATATCGAGGCTGGTAAGTTGTCATTTGGGCCTATGTCAATTTGTCTAACCTTTTTCAATTCAATTTAAATCAATTTATTTCCTGTTTTAGTTTTTCATTTTTAAAATGATTGTACATTTTTACATATTCACATATTAATATACAACATAGGCCTAGATCAATTTCAGAATACAATACATTAACAAAAACATGACATTGAAAGGGAAGGAGGGCAGACTGAAAAACAGAGCTTGCAGGGTGAAGGCTCCCCCTGTAAAAGTAATTATTATGTTTTTTGGTGTGTTTTTTTATTAGAGAAAAAAAATAACAATGACTGATTCAGTAATACAAAAATCATTTTTAAACGCCAAACAATGGGTGGACTAAAGGCAGAGCTTGGAGGGTGTAGGCCTCCCTGTAAAACCAATTATTTGTGATTTTTTTTTTTAATGTGAAAAAACAACAATAACAATAACTGATTCAGTAATACAAAAATCATTTTTAAACGCAAAACTATGATAAATGCATACCGTTAAAAGTAAACAATCAAAGTTATATTAAGTCACACTACAAATTATATTTGATTAGGGAATGCAATAGCCTAGTCACTTTTTCAGAAGAAAGCTTTTAAGTCTCCTTTTGAAAATTTGCATCGAATTACACTGTATGATATTATCTGAAAGAGAATTCCACAACTTTTGCGTGTAAATACAAATGTCTTTTGTGCAAACGATGTTCTATTTAATGGTAGATGAAATGAGCTCGCCTGGTGAGTAAAGTAACTATGAATCGAATCATTTTTACGAACATATCATTGAAAGGCAAAGGTAATTGTTTAGTGTTGAGCTAGTACATTAACTGTCAAAGATGAAAAATATACCTCTCTTTAGTTTTCAAAATAATCGTTTAGTACCTAAAATATTTACATATAAATGTTTTTTTTATACATGCAAATATAAAAACTTATTTTGTTTAAAACACGTAGATAAAACATTGTAGATAAAGGTAAATACGGTAAAACATATAACCAGTTGTCTCATGAACATACAATCATTTGCCTGTACATAGATGTGGTGTTAACAATTGGAATTCAGATATAGACGATGTAAGGAACTTTCTTAATTTATTAATAATTATATTAATAACAATACAAAACATGTATACTTTACGCTCATTACATTAGTCGTTAATTCTCTGTATATACAGCAATACTTTTCGCATTGAACGTAAATGTACAATACTGGCATGGACAGTATGCAGGCGTATCTGCGTGCAAAATATCATGTCGGCTTATAGTTAGCGTACCAAATCAAGCAACTCTAGATTTCTGTGTAATCTCGAATTGCAAATGTATATTTTGCTGTATAGTTCTTGTGAATTCTAATTGATCCTGGAATTCATATTTGATATGTTAAGTCATATGAAATTGTCTTCAAATATATTACAATGGTGGAGGAAATTTCTGTAGATAGTATTCAGAACATTATGTAAGAAATAAAGTGACATAACTTTTGATTTAATTTCACATACGTAAGCTACTAATACCATTTCTTTGTCTTCCTCAATATATCACTAATACATATTTTTCTACAAGATCGCTCATCAGCTTAATAAGATTTTACTTGCAAGAGAATCATATAGATTACATAAAAAGTGCTTAATAAATCATTTAAATATTCATTTGGCATTGATGTTTCTTTATTGTGTGAAGTGTTTTCGAAAGTAAATCAAGATGCAGGGAGGGTATACTTATTGATATATATTTGTAATATATTATTAGTATAATTTAAATCATTGTCATCCAAGAGGACAGGTATTTATGACACCAGAGGGGTGTTTCACAAGATTCTTAACAATTAGGGAAAGCCGTTAGCATCTTTGAAAATATTGTGTAAAAGTTATTTTAAAAGGCATAAAATGTTGATTCTAATCATTTATATTTTCTATAGTCAAGGAGATTTCATGTTCTTGATGTGGAATTTGTATTAAAAAAAATCTAAAATACTTGATTTTTCGCTTTCGAATATATTTTATTTTGAGGCTACAAATGGCTCTCCATAATTTTTAAGTCCAATTTAGAGTTAAGTTTGACTTAGAACCTTTGTGAAACACCCCCCTGGGGGACGGGACATAGATTTCACCCTCGCCTTAACTAGAACATTTAGTGAGTGGCATATTATGCAGGTTTAAATGATAATAAATGTAAGGAAAAAGGAGCGTTTGCGAAAGAGGTTTTTTTCTGTGTGTATTGAAGAGAGAGGCTTTTAGATAGAGGGAGGGGAATAGAAGAGAGAAATAGAGATAAAGAAAGTATTCAAAAGTAAAGAGGGGAAATAGAAAGTGAGAAGGGGAGGTGGGAACATGCACACATTACAAACTGCATGATTAAAATTGTGGCATTGTGAATGGTTAAATAGTAAATGCTCCCCAAAGGGCTAGAATATCACGGTAAACTTCAAAACCTTAATGTGAAGTTGACAAAATTATAAATTACATGTTTACTCCTATTGTTTTATTCACTTAAAACTCGAACAAAGTGCCATTCTAGATTGTCCTTCAAGAAAGGAAATGCAGAAGGCACGACAAAACAAAATTAAATGGCAATTGTTCATGAGATATGCTTAGTGTTAATATCCTAATATAATAATAAGTGAATTCTTCACCTTAGCCCTGAAGTCCAAACTATACATCACATTCACTCTTACCATAAACCTAATCTGAAACCAATACTAAATCTATTCCTATCTCTATAATTATTTCAACTTAACAAAGCCCGGCTCATTTTTGTTGCCGGCCGTGTAAATGCTGAATCACCGAATTCGAACTTGAAGGCAAACAAAATATTATAATCGAATCGCTAACATGTCTGAAGCATCCTCAAAGTTGGAAAATGCAATTCACGATTTGACATGGTGAGACTCGCAAATAGAAGGCCGGGTATCCTGAATCTGTATCCTGAAGTTTTATGTATCCTGTACGTATGAACGATTCTTTAATAAATAAAGATATAAATAAAAATATTGAATAAATAACTCATGCAAATGTTCTGTAACAAGCACACCAAGTCGAACATTATTAACAAACTAAAAATGGTAAGTCCCAAAGTAAATGGGGGGGGGGGGGGGGGAGAGGGGGGGGTAAAAAGCACAAATTTTGTTCTCTCTCCAAATTCGTGAGAAAATATTTAGCGCTGAATCAACACTCAACCCCCCCCCCCCCCCCCCCCCTCCTTGCGCCAGGGGGAGGGGGTCCGTCTTTTTTTTTTTTATTGAACAAAAAAGTGCAACTTTATCTGTTTTAGGGGCCAGGGGAACTTGAAAAACTGTTTATCTCTATAATATTCCCTACACCTGCTGCACGCCGCCAAAGATGGCGTTATCAACGAACTCGTACGCCCAGTTTAATTTGATACATTTTATCTCTATGATATTCCCCAACACTTGCTTGGAGGCTGCCGAAGATGGCGTTATCAACAAACTCGTACGCCCAGCTTACTTTTTATCTCTAAGATATTCCCAACACTTGCTCCAAGCTGCCGAAGATGGCGTTATCAACGAACTCGACGTACGCCCAGTCGAATTTGGGGATCAAGTCATCTCCAGCTTGCAGTAAGCATGGGGAAACAGTGGAAAGCGCACTTGTGGAGAGTGGAGATTACTGAAAAATTAATCATCCAGATTCTGGACCTTTTTTTTTCACCGGGCGCAGAAATTGGCAAAAGAAAAGAAAAGGAAAATTTAAAAGCTAAACACGAAGGGTGTGTATTATTATCCCGCCCCCCCACTCAATGTTATTTAGGGTACGCGTATGCTTGTTCCCTCTTTTTGAAAGCACCCCCTATCTGAGGACTGCCAACATTTCCGAACCCCCCTTTCGCGGGCTAAGCAGAACATCATTTTGGCGATGATAAGACGGTTTTATACAAGTTTATATGAGGAAAAGCAAAAGATGGGTGCTTAAAGGTCATTGAAGGATATGAAATTAAACAAGTCTCCGTGGAATGATGGCCTTACGGTTGAATTTTATCTTAAGTTTTGCATGGTTAAATATTGGAAATGATTGGTAGATGATGTATGTGTGTGTGTGTGTGTGTAACTAGGCGTTGTGGCGTGCGCCTGTAATCCAGCTAACAGTGGAAGTTACAAACTGATTCAGCCGAGGACGCTGGTTCGAAACTGAGTCACGTCTGTCGGATGGTGACGTTAAAGGTCGGTCCCCAGACGTAAATAATCATATCTGATTGATACACGTCTGTAAAAACTAAATACACACACACACACTAGATGGTGTAAATGAAGTCTATGACATGGGGAGTTTACCGGAGGGGGGAAGGGGGTGTACTCAGATTTGGTTTGGATAGGGTGTGCCGCTGAAGCCTCGACCCATGTTTGGAGATTTTGGGGTGATAAAGTGACCCTTTAGAGCGGGACACACCCGTATGTTTCAATATGTGAGTACCCCCCCCCCCCTCCCCCCATTTATCCATATCACAAGAACAAGGGGTTATTACTTTGATTGAGAAGGAATGGAAAGACCCGGAAGTCATACACGTAGACTAGGTGGGTTATAAGAATAATCGCAACATTGGAGAAGCGGTACGTTTAATTAATGAGTTCTGCCTTCTGAATGAGGACTCAGATTAAAGTTATTTGATTGCAATTGATTTTGAAATACATGTAGCATTCGATTACCTATCTCATACTTTCCTCTTTAGAGTCTTACAAATATTTGGGTTCAGTCCCTCATTTTGTTTACAGTAATATAAATAGCTGTGTTATGAATGTGTTTTTTGCTACTGGTTATTTTGATATTAAAGCGAAGAGTCGGGCAAGGATATACACTCTCGCCCTATGTATTTATTCTCGCTGCTGAAACATTGACAGCAGTGGTGGGGAATGATGAGGTTATTAAATGCTTTGAAGTTGGAGGAATGGAAGTAAATAAGTTTTATATGCAGATGATATTACAATAATTGTTGAAAATATAGAATCTGTAGAAATAGTAAAGAAGATTGTTATGGTTTTTAAGAAAATAAGTGGTTTACGGGTCAATGCGGAAAAAAACTAATATTATAAAATAGGGGAAAAACAGAGACATATCAGCAAAAATTGTCTTCGGGAATTTGGTTAAAGAAGAAAAGATTTTGGGAGTGTATTCTGCGTTAGACATCAGAATAAGGGGGGGGGGGTGGTAGTGAGCACTATTTTTTTTTTTTTTTTTTTTGCTCCCGAAAATTTGAAAATCGCTCAGTGTGGGGGGAGGGGGGGGGGGGGGGTAGTGAACACATTTTTTTTGGGGGGGGGGGGGTCCTCGTATTTTTTTTCATTTGCACCCCCCAAAAAGGTCAAAATCACGTGATTTTACATGATTTTTTTTCTCAAGGGGGGGGGGGGGCCGGCCCCCCCCCCCTGGATCCGCCACTGCCTTCCCTCGCTCTCTGTCTACCTCTCCCACCATCTCTCTCTCTTTCTCCCTCCCCTCTCTCTGCAACTGCTCAAAAGAAACAAACATACATCAAACAGTCAACAACAAAATGCGAACGATAAAAACAGTTTATAAACTGTTGCGAATATGACTTTTATTCACAATAAAAATGCCTTTTGCACAAATTAGCCTATCTGAAGCAAACCATAAATAAACCAGGGCTTTACCAATAAATCATAACTTTACATTTTTTACAACTTAAAAGTAATAATGAATAATAATATTAAAAGTAACTTAATACAACTGATTTTTTTTATTTTGGCTTACAAAAAAGGCATATGGAAAAGTGGTTTCCTTACATTATTTACTTTCTTAAAGCAGTGATCCGATGTTAAATGAAAAAAACAAAGGCCTTTGCATAAATTGAACCTTTGCTCCTAAAAAAATATGATTAACCCCCAAAGCATTCGTTAGTAGTAGACCACAATAGTATAAGGCTTCATATAACATTCAGGAGTGTTTGACAACAGGTGCCTTTTATTATCTCTTCCTTCATGTTATCATTCACTTTTACACCCTTCAAGTTTAGGAACCCCCCCCCCCCCCCCCCCCACCAGAATATAAGGACAAATATCACCAGAAAAGTGATTTCAAAATAGGTTGCAATCTTCATTCTAGAGAAAGAAGGAGGTTACCTTTATTCTCTTCTTTCTTTTTATTTATTATTTGCAAATGATATTTTACCATGACCATAATTAATCTTCTAAAATATGAACATATAACTTATAAGAATGTGAGATTATAAACAATGTTTCTTAACTCAATAAAAGTCAGAAAACAGAAATCAAACTTAACACTGAATAATAACTTCTTTCATTTTCTATATAAACGAACAGCCTTTACATAAAAACATTGTTTATATACATATATCAGTACCAAAAACATGACAACAAATTTCTATCTACATACCCATATCATGTAACTATGTTCTCTTCTTTTAACACTCTAAGTTGTACATGATTTTGTTATACAAATATATCAATATTAAAAGCTAAATAATGAGGAGGAGGAGGAGCTCCAAAGTATAACTGGATGAAATTATATCGCAGCAGGTTATTTCTTTTGTATACTGCAATGGACATTAATGTACACAAGTAAGACGGTGTACTTTTGGGGTATCATGTTTTAGTTTTATAATAAGATAAACTTTGTCAATAACAAAACAATAGGAGCATAAATTTCAAAAGTCACTTCTCGTTTCTTCGTACATTGGATAAGATTGGTGGTGTGGCCATCTAAACGCACTCTTTCAAAGATTTTTTTTTATAATTATGTACAGCCACATGTAACAAGGAACCTTATCATAAAATGCATAGAATAAATACCAGTCATAATATGCATTATGATTAAGTGAGCCATTGAACGCAGTCCTATATGTTTGTAATCCATGATAGACTTAGAAATTAAGTCGTCTATCTGAACACATTCCTACATGTATATGCATGTAATCCATGGTACACTTAGGATTAAGTTGGCCATCTGAACACATTGCTACATGTATATGCATGTAGTCCAGGGTACACTAAGGATTGAATTGGCCGTCTAAACACATTCCATATGCATATATGCATTTAGTCCAGGATACCCTTAGGATTAAATAGGCCATCTGAACACATTCCCATATGCTTTACAACACTTCAAAGCCCTGTTCCACAATTAAAGACTTGAAGGACATAGTTGAAATTCCAATCATACAATCAGAGGAATTCCAACTATGCACTATAGTCGTAACAGCAAGCGCGATATGGACTTAAGTGCCACTCCAAAACACTTTGAATATTTATGCCACTCCAAAAAACAAGATAGCGGAGTAGATAACGGTGGCATAAATAGATTTGAGCTTACAATCGTAACATAATACGACGATGAATACAGCTTGCCTGTGCATAAGAAGCGTGGACGAATAATGCCCTAGAGCATCAAAATATGAACATCTTTTCTGACCTTTTTCTCTTGGCTAACGTACCAAACTTATTTCTGGAGCATCTCATTATGGACAATGCCATTGCCTTAGGCTCAAAAAGATCCTCGATTGAATACGAGAATGTTTTCAAGACTCATGCATATATATCGTATGGTATGATTATTACATTTCACTGACAACTGCAAAATATGAAATTCCATGCTTCTGCGATATGTGTACCTCTGCATTTTTTTGGCAGGTTATTGACATCCTTTAAGTTTGAATGCAAAAAGAAAGAAATTACAGAGAGAAGTATTGCTAGAAAGATTGCAAAACTTTAGAAATTCTACAAAAAACTCTGTACCTGTATTCGTGAGATTTTCCACAAAGGCACTGTCTAATAACTTGATACAAATCTTGAATTATTGGTTGGATTATTGCTCAAGTATGTTACATCAACTTAAAGATCAACTATTTTTTCTTTACCATCTTAAATAAACCAGTCGAGAAGAACTATATACACTGAAAGATACGTCATGAAGTTTGTAGAATGCTTTAAACAGCATAACATGTATTCCCTGCATGTTTTGATGCCACTTTTCCTGTCCTCATCCAAGAAAAAAAAAGGACAAATTAACCATTTCTGAATGCTTTTCCAAATGCTTATCGTTATAAATTTACCTCAGCCCTTTCTTTGCTACAATATCTTCTCATACTGACATGAAAAACAGGATATATTTTACGAATGTTGTACTTTTTAAATTCAATCCTGTTATGCGTTCCACCGCCATTTTTCACAGCGAAGTAAATGTAGATACAGCCCTGTACATGCAAGTTACATGCACATATGTACAAAAGTACAACAAATGTAAATTTCATGTACAACTTGTAATATACATCTTGATTTGTGTACACAGAGTATGTGAAATTAACTATTTGCTATTTGTTATTTTCACTTCAAGTGAATGAAATATACATGCATGTTACCATTATTCATGTAAATTACCTGCATGCATTGCATAGTATAAGTACCAGTATGGAATAATGCAAGAAGCATTTCAACTTCTGCACAGCTATCTCTGTATCATTGCAAGTGAAAAGATAAGGAATGATATGTCTTAAATCGCATCTTTGATTTTAGTAGTTAAAGGGGTTAAATAATGAGGACAAACAACAATTTGTGACCTATATACGTCCGAATACAATCGTAGACTACAACATAACTCCCCATGTATTGCTTTATCGTCAGCTCATCTCGAAATGTAGCCTGAATTTCATTTTACCTTGAACAGGACAGCAAGGCAAGAAATATTGATTTTAATGGCTGATTCCTTAATGAAAAACCACCGTGTTGACCTTTTTAGGGTTCTAGTAATTGAGTTTTGTGTCCAGGGCAGGCAATGCCCGACTGGTTTTGGGTATATTTATTATTTTTGGTTCCTGATGGAAATCTATCAACAGCTGTGAAAGCATCGACTCTGCAAATCAATGCACTTATGATAGTTCTGTTTGCAATGGAATATCGAGTAGGGAGATTACCATGGCTATATATCTTCTGCTTGTACTGTGCTGCAAATTTATTACAGGAATACAGATTGGATATCATTTTTTGCCATGCTATATATTTCACATGTCTTTTTTCGACATATGCAATCTTTAGAAGGTGTTTCAAACTTCCTTCTGCTATGAAAATGTATATAATGGAATGGCTTTGCAAATCTTCATTGCTTTGAATACACGTTCTATGATGATATTGCAAAAATACATATGGATATCAAAATAGGAATTACTATATGTGAAATATGGAATTATACAACAAATAGATTTGTGAATACGGAATAAACATGGCATTCAGGTGTGAATATACACACTTACATGTACATGTAGATGAATGGTTGCTGTGATGCAAAGTCCTGGGTGGAAATTTGATCTAAATGTACGTGTACATGGTATGAATTCACCACGATTGCAACCTGGAAAAGGTGTGTTCCTACTATACTCCCTGATCTGCATGATGTACAGTATGCCTTATTTGAAAGTGTGAATACTCCCTTTTTTTGCATGTAAAGGAGGAACAACATACATGTACGAACACATACGATACCGAGACAAACTTGTGCTCACATTGGAGTTGTGCAACGATCTGAAATCATGATAGAGAACATACCTTTATCCATGAACAAAAGTACACTGTATATAATCACGCAATATGATAAAACATGGTACAGAAAGACTTCATTTAAGTGGAACTCTGAATTCTATCATTGGAATTGAGTCATGTGGAATATCCATTCAGGATCTTGTGGAATCAAAGCATGAATTTTAAACTAGAGAATGAACAAGAAGTTTGCATAGTTGTACCGATAATGTACCTTGAGAAAAGGTTGGAACGTACTCCCAAACGCATTCAGCGAATGATTAATCATCAATTATTGCTTTCCAATTATCCAAGATGGCATTAGGACAGGTTATTTGTTCCCCACATGGAGGAGTTAAACACCAAGGTTGATTAAAGAAAGGAGTGTTCCAATACTTAGAACCTGTAAAATGCATGCAGTAACTAATGGTCCGGAGCCAGCACGATCATAAACCATGCGGCAGTTATCGACCTGTCAAACTTGACACTGTTCAGCTCTGCGTTACACATGGGTGACCGAGAACGATAGAAGCAATCAAGTCGTTACAGAGTCACGTGATGCAAGTCTTTTTGTTTTTCACTTTGGGTTTCATATGTGATAATATTTAAACTGTTGGTAAAAAAAGTGGTATTTCATTCATGTAAAGGTGAAAGAGGAAGAAGAAAGAGAGAGAGAGAGAGAGAGCGAGAGAGGGGGATAGGAAGGGAAAGGAGAGAGAAGATGTAGAAAGGAATAGGGGGGGGGGGGTAGAAGAAAGGGAGAAAGAGGGTGGAGAATTACAAGTACCTAATCATTTGAGAAAGAACTTGCATTTCCCTTTTTGATACACCTTTCCAAAACAAGCTCTTTCTGCAATAAACTGTTGCTGTAGATGGGCACTGTTCTAAAACTCACTCATCTAGAATTTCTTCTTAACTTTGGACATCAATCCATGTCTACCCCTCTATGACTCTTACTTTCCTACACCTATAATGTAAATGACGCTGTCTATTTGACGAGTATAAATAGTTTTAGCTCTACGAGTACGGGCGTGTCGTAGGACTAAATAACGAGTATAAAATGTGTTGTTTTATTAAAGAGTTCTTGGACTGTCCTAGGAGCTCCCTGGTTTGCTCTCCTTCCCTTTGACGTCCTTGACTTCTTTTCGTGCCTTGATGCCGCGGAACCCGGCCTGGATTTTGAGAGCTGCGCTTTGGACGTCGGGGTCACCGAGGTCAATGTCGACCTCCTCCTCCTCCTCCTGATTGGCTGGTTTGGGGGGATCTGCCTTAGTGGATGCCTGTATAGAAAAGAAAGCAAAAAAGAAGACAATTACATGAGAAATCAATAACAAAGAATTCCTCACAAAATGTTCAAAGCATGAGATTTCCCTTGCAAGGAATTCTTCATTTATTTTGTATTGCATAATCATACATTTTCTTTTTCATCCTAGTACAGGCACTTTTTTTCCTTTCAAATCTGAGCTTATGTAGTTTCAGTTCACATTATCATTTCTTATTCTTTATTAGTCCATCCATAACAAAAAGGTCCATAGAATGACGATCTTACTACAGGCCGTCAATGAATTTCATAAACTTGAAGTCACATATTTGAAAGATAATACATACATATATAAAAACAATGGAAGAAAGTTGTCATGTAAGGAGGTGAGTGAGAAAGTTTTAGCAATTTGGTTAATACAAAGTATTAGCAGAATGCAGACGCCACGTCAAAATTGTAAAGCTTGAAATATAATCACTCAGAGAGCCTTTTACACACACATTAAAGTCAAACCGTTCATCCCCAAGAGTGCCTTTCCCTACCAATACAGCCACGTTCACCTAAGTTCTTTTAATAGAATTCAATCGTGAGGAAACTGTTTCTGGAGTGCACTATGTAAAATCAATGTGAATGACATGTTCAATAAACCACCATGGAACCTAATATCCTTCATGTGTAAAGCGTGTCTCTCTCGCATGTGACTGTAATCATGAACTATGTCGGTTCACTTCAGCAATTCACAATTTATTACATTTCCTATCCCTAGCCGGTGTCGGCACGTTCAAGTTCGTGAATACATCGATGTGTACTGCACACAGAGCACGCTAATCTAATTTCAAAGGTGGTTCTGTAGGGACCGATAACTACATGTATGTGCATTTGTAGAGGTGTCGTAGTCGAGTGGTTTAAAGGCACACTGTCTTACTTGTAGCTTGTTGCTCCCTCTATATAGAAAACTTCCCCAATCGGTGCCTGTTGGTCCCCCATGATCCTCTTTTTCTTATGTTAAATGAGAGCTGAGTTAATGAGATAGCCACCTGTCACAGTAACCTCGCTGGCTCGCTGTGTGGTCTAATCCCTTCTGGTTGAAGTAGTAAAGCCTCCCTTTAAGTCCTTGACTTGAAATGCAAAGGGCATTGGTTTGATCCACAACATGGCACTAACGTCCATTGGCAAGGCATTAATCTACATTGGCCACTCCATACCCAGGAGGATAAAAAATGGGGACCCGGTAGGATGACAAAAGTTTTTTATGTATAATTGCGATATTGCCATATGACTTCATGGTAGGAATACTCCCAAAGGAGTGGAGATGGTGCACATTGTGCGTGAATGAATCCGATGACTGGGGTTAAAATATATCTGTAAAGCGCTGAGAGACGATATAAGCAGTACATTTACATTTTAGTAGAAAGCCAGCCATGTGTCTGGTGTTCCACATTACTCCATCCAGGTCGTGAAGCAAAAAAAAAAAAATTACCCCAAATAACCTTGCCAGAAATGTATTGCACTCTGTGTATATTAAATTTCATTCAAAACTTACTTTATCATGAACTGCATAATTACTTAAATGCAACATTAAATGGATTGAAGTTTTTGTGGCTGTCTGTGATTCTGATCAATTCTGGTCATGCATTATGTGCAGGAAGAAAAGTGATGTTGGGGGACGTACATACGCAAAGAGCTAGAGAAAAGTTCCAGCCAGAGATTGAGCGAGACAAACAAAGCAGTACCGGTAAGAAGGAATCGGATAAAGAAAAAGGCTGTTTTTCAAAGAATAGCTGCGTCAACACAGTATCTCGAATCCGTGAAGAGCAAAGCTGCAACAACACCAGGCTTTCACCTTCAGTGTATGGTTACACTACCTCAATAGTCTTGTTCAAACTTGTACATGCATCTGCCATCTACATGTACATGTTCATGTGTCTAAAATAGCCATATATAGATTCTGCTGCAATCCATAGCAGCAAAGTATAACCTTTTAGTGACATTTTATTTTCATCTTTTGATGCAGAATGCTCCGAATTACAAATTGAACACAAGCAGAAAGTGCATAAGAAAAAATCACTGGAAACTTGAGACCTGTCTTGTAGAAGGACGTTGTGCTGCTCATGAATAAGAGTGATTTAATGTCGATGGAAAAATCATTAAAATCTCTAAATTGGCAATGCCAAGTCAAATTTATCATCACTAATTTTGTGCACAAATTGACAATTTTGAGTTGATTTTCATAAAAAAACTTTTATTCATGCTGTTTCATTGAGTATATACTTCTTTTTTAACTATGAAAGAGTGGAAAATACAAATAAATGTTGCCAATCTGAGAAGGAAGAGCAGATTAATTTAGAGAAAACTCTGAATTGCATTTGCTTAATACAATGCATGGCAAAATTCACGCACAAGTTCAATTCTATATTATTGCTGTTATGTATGAACGAGACAATACTGCAAAATCACATTATCATTACAGTATTGTCTTGCCAATACACTTATAAACAGCCACGAATGTATAATTGCTACAAATGCACATTTGCAATACTGTGGTATCCCCCGATGTGAACAGGGCACATAATATGTATTACATGCTGTCTTGCTCATAAACATATAAACAGCCACAAATGTATAATTGCTACCAATGCACACCTGTAATATTGTGGTTTATCCCCCAATATGAACAGGGCATACATAAATAATGCATATTATGGCTCTCAGATGCCCAATATCGCACGGTGAGACGGACGTATAATCGGCCTTACAAAAGTCCCTTAACGAAAAGTACTTCATTGTGAATTCAATATGAAATTGCTGAGGAAGCGATATATGGTACTCAAAAGACCATCCAATAAATTGTCATCGCATTTCAAAATCCCCTCTCGCCTTCACGATAGACAGTGCATACAAATAGAATAACGTGTTGAAAGCAATTAATCTGCTCTCTACACTTGGAAATGCTTATGATGCAGAGAATACGGTGACAAGGTGGTTCTACTGACACACACGTTTTAATGTCATGTCTGAAGTGCCTTTTATTGGTTTTGCTAGAAATGTAATGATGATGGTACAGTCGACCATGCCTGACCACCTGTATTATTAAAAGGTATAGATCAGTTAGTGGTCAAATTGCGGTTCAAGGATTTTGGGTGCAAAATATCCATGCAGTATTGTTTGAATATTGCCTTCAGAGGTTTAGATGGCAATGCTTCAACCTAAATTCGCAAAAAAAGCAGAAATACATGCCCAAATGTTCAATGTTGAAGTGCATTTGCGATATCTGTCCAGGCCGGATCAATATGATAATTTCCCAAATATATCAATTAGTAGGCGGTTTCCCGGCAAAACTTTTATCGTCACGTATAGTCAAAACATATTCTTTCACATGATTGGTAATAAGAGCTTCCATTTCATTTTTGAGGGGGGGGGGGGGGGGGGGGAGGCGTTTCCCAAAATGGTCTTTACCTTTAAGATTGCCTGTATATAAAAGCTTTCCCCTGATCTAGTTTTCTTACTGCAACCTACATTAAAGAACCCACATGCATAACCTTAAGACCACTACTTTCGTCTTTTGAATAGGTCTTTGCTCAAACTGTCACTGACCCGTTTCTCTCATTATCCGCGTCTATTAAAACCAATTCAATACCAGGGTGGACTTTCCCTTTAAAGAACCCACAAGCATTTAAAGACCACCTGCCTATTTAGACCACTTTGCTTGCCTCCCCTGAGCAGGTTTTACATACATATTAACTGTACCAAAAATCGTTTCGCAAATGCCCTCCTTTGAATACACAGTGACACTACAGAGAGGAAGAAAAAAAGGAAAGCATGACAAGAGGGCAAGTTAGAGAGAAAAAAGATAAAATAGGTGGGAAGAGAGAGATTAAAAAAAAAAAACAAGATAAAAGAAGAAGAAGCATACATGCAAAGAGAGAAAAGCAGCAAAGGAAAGGGAAGAAAAGCAATAGAAGATAAAATGAAAGAAATCTATAGGAGAGCCAAGAGAAGAGAGAAATGATGAAGAGAGAGATGAGAGAGAGAGAGATAGAGAAAGAGAGAGGTAGAGAGAGGAGAGCAAGAGAGGAGGGCAAGACGAGAGAGAGAGTGAGAAAGAGAAAGAGAAAGAGAGAGATAGAGAGAGATAAGGAGGAAGAGAGAAAGAAAGAGAAGGGCAAGACAAGAGAGAGAGAGAGAGAAAGAGAGAGAGAGAGGAGGGCAAGACAAGAGAAAGTAAGAAGGGGAAATAGCTCAGCTCAACCAGTCTTAATGTCTTAATCTGTTTATGGCAAGAAGCTTTAGAGCACTTCACTATTAAAATTAGGTCACCATCTTGGCAAGATGGCGTAGAACCTGCAAGCAAACTGAGATAACTTGATGAAACAGAACGCTGTGCCAACAAGGTTTGCAGGTTTACTCCATACCTCGGGTGGTAATTAGATTTCACAGGCCATGTTGTGACACCATACATTATGTTAAGTCATCGGGGGCAATTGAAAGTAAATTATGAGGAAGGAAGCATGAGGAGTTAGCTAGAGGCTCAATATAAAAAAGGAGAAATATAGAAACTACACAGAACTGTCGAAAAGACATAAAGATGATATAAAGATTTAGCACAAGAGAGATGTACATGTATACAAAGAAGTAATATAAATGTGTACAGAGATACATGTAGGTGTTACATGCAGATAATAAGCAAGAAAGGGAAAGAAGGGGGGAGGGGGGGAGAAAGAGGGAGAGAATTATAAATATATATCTGAAGTGGAAGACAAGCGGTTCCAATGTATTTTTATGTACATACAAGGGGAAATAAATATAAAAAGAGATGCCCCCCCCCCCCCATAAAAAACAACACAGAAGTGCAAAATAGGAAGAAGAAAAAAAAAGTTACAAAGTACTGTTCAAGGAAAAAGAAATATGCATTTTAGTAACCAAATTTGCACCAAAAAAGATTTGTTCTGCAATTGTTATAAATTCTCAACAACGACACTAATTAGAAAAACATGAAGGAAAAAAATTCTCACTTCTTAG